AAAACACGTTCTGTGTGGGCATTGCTGCATGGAATAGAGAAGATATAAGCACTCACCTTCTTCAGATTTGTGAAAGGGACCTCAGATTTACTGAACAGCTTGAGATAGCATTCCTCACTGTGGCTATCTACCATCTCAGGTGTATTGATAATTGCCTGCACAATCCCATACTCTTCATATAATTCATTCATATCAATATCTTGAAGATTACAGGGCTTGACTGCATACAGAATTCTCTGAAAGGTATGGCACTTGTTAGGCTCAATTTTGAAACATTGTTATGAAAGCTGCTTTCAGAGAAGTCATACATGTTACTTAAGTACTATATGGCTCTTTCATACAAAATAATGAAGTCTGTTTCACATTTTTTAGAGACCTTTGGGGTAAGCTGGCCAAGCTTGGTGTTTACTGCAAAGCCAAAAAACAGTCTTTTACTCTTCTCTCAAGTTTGCTTTTCAGTTCAGACATTAGCTTAAATACTGAAGTTATGCTGAAGGTCTTGTCTTCTAGTGCTTCAATAGTGTCTGAGGACAATTTAAGAGTGTGACTGAGGAAGAAGAAATAGATCTCTGATGATTCACAGGCATTTCCTTCATCTCCAAAGCACTTCCATAGTACATTGGGGCACTCCTCCTCACCTAAGCTCTGGAAATAACTTTTTAGAACTTCCCAGCACTTAAGTATTCTGTCAATAGCTGGCAAAAGAGAAAGTCATCTCGTCACAACAGACTGCAACCATCAACCTCCACAAATTCACAGAATTCCTTTAACTGTGCTGTTCTTTTAGCTGAGATGCTGAAATGGTTATACACTTTGAGCACAATATTTTCAACATCAATTTCCAGTTTTGCTGTAGCAAATCTTGTTGCATTGTGCCAAATATGAGCCAGATAGTTTGCAGCAATAATGTTCTTTTGAGCCATTTTAGTTTTTGATAAACACTGTTGTGTTTTCCATAGTTTACACTTGCATTGTCAGCAGTGTATGCAGACACTTTATTCAGATCCAGACCTGACGTCTCTAGTTTAGATAGTAGCTGATATGTTATGGCCTCTGATGATTCATTGTTATCGCTGTAAAAGTCAAGTAACACATGGTGCACTCCCTTCTCAAAATGAAAGTATCTCAGAAGTATTGGGAAACATTTTGTTGCACCTTTGTTGGAAGCATCAGTTGCTATTGAAAAAAGGCAAACCATGTTCTTTGATGTACTCCACATGTGTTTGTACAGAATATGGT